TAAATCTTAAATTCTAAATCCAACAATCTAAACGTATACCAATTAAAATCCCTAAAAAGATATGTCTATTTTTTGGAAACACATATATAACCTCAAATTCTAAACTACTAAATCCTAAAATCCTAAATTCTAAATTTCTAAAAACGTATGCTCATCTTTTTGAGACACACATATAACTCTAAATCCTAAATCCTAAAATTCTTGCCAAATCAAAACACAAAAATTTCTATTTATTTAAAAAATCAATTCAAAAGTCAAAATAGCCAAATACTTAATATCTATAAAATTATATACTTTTAGAAGATTTTAAGCATATATTTAGAATAAACGACCTCCAAATGGATCTAATAGGCTTTTCAAAAATTTCAAAAACTATTATATAACAAAAATCAAAATTCTTAAGTCCAAGTCAAAGTAGCTATATCTTTTAAACTATGAACTTGTATAAGAAAATAATTACACTGTTAAAATTCAAAATATCATAAATAAGAGAATAGATCAAGTCAAAATCCAAAAATAGTAATGCCTAAAAATCAAAAATATTATTATAATTTTAAATATTAAATTTTTAAACTATAAATAGAAGGATATATCAAGTCAAAATCTAAAAATATTTAGGTCTTAAAATTAGAAACATCTTTGTATTTCTAAATTCTAAATCCTAAACTTGATTTGTTTATGATAAGGTGGTACATAAACATGTAAATGGAGTGATGTTGAAGAAAATCAATAGTAGTACATATTAGAAGAAAGATAGAATGTATGAAAATCATGTTGGAGGAGCTTACCACTTCATTCAAGAATATGGTTCGAATTGGCATAACCTTGTATAATCCATTGCATAAACTTAGAACATAGATAATATAGTATTAATCATATATACATATAATATATTCAAAAATAATATAAATATAATATTTTATAATTATATACATATAATCTAATATTTATTATTATAGTATTTAAAAGTTTTTATATATTTATTATATATTTTATTTTTATTTTTATATATTAATTAAAGGTAAAATTTATTATTTTAAAAACCTCATATTTCCTAAATTATAAACTTATTCAAGATATCAAATATACCATTAGAATCAAAAGAATGATAAATAGGGAGATATGTCAAATAAAAACTTCAAAAAAACAAAGTATAAAAAAAATCAATAAAAAATTGTATCAAGTCAAATGTCTTATATTTCAAAATTAAAAAATATATATAGGTTTTTAAGTCTACCACTAGATTCTTAAATTCTTATTCATATGAAAAGTTGATTAAAAATTTAAAATGATCAAACAGTTAATATCTAAAAATATATGTACATTTAAAAAACTTCAAGTATGTATTTAGATTGGATGACTTTTAAATGGATCTAATAAGCTTTTCAAAATTTTCAAAAATCTTTATATGACAAAAGTCAAAATCTTAAAGTCCAAGTTAAAGTAGCTATATCTTCTAAACTTAGAACTTGTGTAGGAAAATAATTACACCATAGAAATTCTAGATACCTAAATCATGGAGGGAAAGAGATATAAGTTAGGTCAAAATCTAAACATAATAAGGTCCAAAATTGGAGACATCCTTATAATTCTAAATTCTAAATCTTAAATCCTAAGTCTAATCACCGTTTTAATCTTAAACTCTAAATCCCTAAATCCTTAATCCTAATACTTTTTTTTGTTTTATTATTTGACATTATATGGATTTTTAAAATATTTCTTATAAATACCTTCATCCATGATTTATTTAAGTTTATCTTTAGATTTTTATAAATAGCTCATAACATCTTTGAAAAATTATTATTTTTAATAATATCTATATAAAATATTTACACTTTCTTCTTGAAGGATCTTTTCTATCACAAAATATGCTATAATTTTTATTAGCTTTGATTTTTTTTTACTAATATTTTTAATAATTGCCCATTTTTTTCAACTTTTAAAAAATCATTTAAAGATTTTTTATTCTTCATGCAATTTCATCAACACTCATTCTTATTTTTTTCTAATGTAGCTATTGGAGGTTGATCAATAGATATGAATTTTATATTAGGTATTTTTACCTTAAATTCCTGCATTTATTTTAAATACCAACAAATTTTTTTTTAAATAAAAAGTCATATTTTCTATTATAATTCTTTAAAATTTTTTAATAATCTTTTATATTCTTCTTTATCTTCAAATAAAATTTCTAACTTAACTTATAGCTTTCTATTGGTGTTTTTAAAAAAAAATCTCTACTTAATTTAGTTCTAATATTTACTTTTTTTAAAATAAACAAGGTTATTTCTTTTCAAGTTTTTTTAATAATTTTATAGCTTAAAGATATTTTTTAGACTATTCATGTCATTCAAAAAAAAATTGTAATATAATTATTATTTTATAAAAAATGATTTTTCTTTAATGTTTGATAAAATTCCATCATCTTCAAAAATATTCTATAATGAATATTTTGTTTTATTCTATTCTATTTTAATTCTTTAGAATAAAACCAAATTTAAATAATTAAACCATTTTCTTCTAAAAAAAGCTTCATCTCTATTTTTAAATAATATCATAACTATTTTGTCATAAATTTGTCTTTGCATTGGTCAATATTGTCAACTACTACTTATAAAGACTTATTTATCAAACCTATTTTTTTGCAATTCTTTTTGTGTTATTGTATAAATAAATGAATAAATAAATATATATACTTGCAAAGTTAGAATTATATATATATATATATAGCTTACTATCAATAAGTACCTCACTTACAACTTTACTAAAAATTCTACTTGAAGTTTCATCTATAGCTTTACTTTCAATCATCTTGCCTTCCTTCTTTATAACTCAAATAAACAAAGAAAAAAAATAAAATACCTTTTATTATAGCTATTCACATTAGATTCACCGAATATATTATATTATGTAAAAAATTAACCTAAAAATGCAGTAGCCATCTACTTGTTGAAGAATTTTGATCTTACTTTGAAAATAGATTTATAATACAAAAAATGCATAAGGTATTTTAAAATATATTTTTTGCAATTAAAAACAACTTAAGTGAGCTACTAATCATATTAAGTATATTTTATCAACCTTAAAAAAATCCTATGTATATCTTATTATACTCTAGTGAATTTCAAATAAACCTTAAATAATCTTTAATTACTGTAATTAAATTCTAAAGAAATCCTAATAAATCCATAGAAATCTCTAAAAATAAAAAAATAAAAAAATAAAAAATAAACTATAAAAAATATTGAATAATTATAAAATTTTATTTTAAATTTAAAATATTAATTATTATTAAATCAACCATTGATTTGATTTATTATTTTTTAAAAAATAAACATAATTTTAAAAAAATTAAAATTACCAAGTAAGAAAAAAAAAATTAATTCACTTAGATATGAAGTTCTTTTATTTTCTAGCTTTAATGTGAGTCTTCCAACGTCAATATTTTTTCATTTTCACCATTTAATTCCTTTTAATATTTATATAATTTTTTAATTAAAGTCAAATTTTTTCTCACAAAAAATAATCTCAATCTAATAAGCACATTACTCAAAATTATATAAATTTTTATTAATTTTTAAAATCTAATATTTGTTTAAATTTTAACAACCTTTGATCTAATTGTTTAATTAAGCTTATATTCACAATACACATTTAAAACAACTAATTTCACGAATATACAAAATTTCATCTGTTGATCTACTACAAAACTTACAAAATTTTTAAAATGTAATCTTTTTTTAATTCTATACAAAAACAAAGTCACCTAAAGCAACCTTAATTTTGCAAAGCACTTCCAAAGTCATTATCTATTCAAATCATAGAAAGAAATACTTAAAAAACTCTATCAAGTCTACTCACAAGCTTTACTTTTCAATCAAAAAAAGAAAAAGAATTGAGACTTGCCATAAGTCCAAGGTTTTATTTTTTGGGATTTGATTTCAATCTTGGTTCTCACTTGGTCTTCTTAGGGTATTAACTTAAGGATCTTTTGGGTTATTTTTGCTAAAATCTACTTTTATTTTCACCAAAAGTTACATACAATATTATTTTTTCTAATCCACTTTGTTTTATCTTGTTCATGGCCTTCCAAAGTAAGTAGAAGTCATTCTTACAAAAGAAACAAAATCAATGCTAAATATTTTACTACTTCCCTATCTTTAATCTATATTTTTTAAAATAGTTTGACGCTATATTTTAAGTTCTTTTGTGATATGTATATATATATATATATATATATATATATATATATTATTTTTTATCCAAAAGCTATGTTACAATAAAACATTGGAACTTAAGAAAATCAAATTTTAGGGCTAATAATTCCATTTTATGTCTTCTTAATAAATTAACTTGTATGTGCCTTGGTAGCAATTAATATATTAGATTCCAATCTAGTCCAATCAATGAAAAGTTATATATTACTAATCATCTAATGTGTCTTACATTTTGTCAATGATATGCTTAACTTTTGCAGACAACAATCAGCATGCAGTTCATGCAAAAAATTACATAGTAATTTAAATCAATTCAAGTTTTTTAGTTAATTATTAATACTATTATTGGATGAAATAATATTTTTTTGACATTACATTTACTATTTAATGAAAAAATAAAACATATGTATATATAATACTAAGTATGATGTAAGGTTTTAAAATCATTCATGTTTATATATATTAATACTTTAGAAAATTTATTGTTGATTATAGTGTATCTTTTGTGATTTATACATTGCAATTAACCACTTGCCAAACATACTTTTATATTTTCAATGCATTATTTGGAAAAAGTAACAATAACATACACACATGGTAGTTACGTTGTTAGGTGATTATACTATGAAGGTTTTGTTTAATACTACAGATAGAATGCTAACAATATTTGTGTCGGTCTTGGATGAAGACACGGTGCAGCTAATCGTCCATAATGTGCGTCGCCGTGGGTATGATCATCCATGACTGTAACAGTCATCCATCCTGTTTCATTCGAGCGAAAACGCCAACAGCCCGCTGTTCCTCCTCCTCCTTCGCCTGTTGCTTGCTGCTCGTCTTCCGCCTTCACTTCTGCTCCACTCTTTCGCACCTTCATCGCATCACCCGTCTCTGCATCCCTGTTTGCTTGCCCCCTCCTTCTTTCCAGTGGACTCTGCAATCCTTGTCCCAGGGCTTTTTTCATTTCTACGTCTTCTTTGCTCAACTCCTCCAAGATGCGCGCCTCCTTGAGACCCAGCGATCCTGCTGCGTCGCCTGCAGTTGAGCGCGTGGTCAGTCTTCCTCCTGCTCCTCTTTATTCTCATTCTAGGGTTGCGCCACTACACCGTCTTTCTCATATTTGAAGCGTGTGAATGGCCCCACTCCGTCACTCTCAGACCAATCGTTCCAGGTTTAGGGTTCTATCACCAGCTACAGAATTTCAGGGTTCGGATGCCAAAACAATTCTCAAATCATTGCATATGTAGTTTTTTTAACGCAATGCCCAAACCATTTGAAAGCCCTCGTGGAGGATATCCATATCACGATCTGACCCCTTCTGTGGCATCCACTATATCAAAGCTGCAGTGGCGACTTTATGGCTTCGGTGTCAATGAATGCAAATTAGATCATGCTCTGCGGCTTTGGAATTTTTCCAATTGTCGTATGTTTTCTAGCTTTCTCACCAACCTCCTCGCCAGGTCGTTAGATATTCCCGAAGGTGGTGTGTCTAGGATAGTTCTCTGTAGGCGATCTGCTACATCTCTGTACTAATCGGTGTAGTTTTTACGAGAAGGTGCGCGTGTGCATTGTATCATGTTGTTGAAAGTGGTTGATAACTCTTGATGATGTAGGGACCAGTATTTCGTCGGGAACGATTGTTCTCGGTAAGTCTGATGAATGCTAGAATATGTTGGTAATCTGATTCAGAATGCAGAGCTTTTCACATTGACATACGGAGCCATTGTGCGTCAACTCCTCACTGACTATGAAGAGATTGATGAGGTTAACAAGCAGCTTGACACCATGTAAGATTTCTCCCATATACTTCAGCTTGCTAAGCATTGTCGTTTCTAACTGTAGATAAGGCAGCTGCGAGGGTTTTCTGTGAATGGCGGTTTGAGTGTCGTCATGGAGACGCCTTTCGAATTTTCAGGTCTCAGAGTCATAGTGTTATGTGTCCGACATTGATATCTTTGCAGGGGCTACAACATCGGTGCTCGTCTTGTAGATGATTTCTTGGCGAAAGCGAACATCACAAAGTGTACAGACTTCAGAGAGACTGCAGATGTCATTGCTAAGGTATCGTGAGTTTCATTTTGTGGGTTCAAGGTCTAGGGAATGGTCACTATCGCAAAAAATTATTGTCAAGCTTAGAGGTTTCTTTGTGAGGCCCCTAATTGCTAACGTAGCTTGTTACGGGTTCAAGAGGCCACGATGGCATTTGTATTGGACTGTTTCTGAAGTCATTCATTTTTTAGTCTATTCAGCATTGAGCAACCTTTCCTGTGTTAGCTTAACACTATTGCTTGCATCGTTAAGGTGGGGTTCAAGATGTTTTTGAATGTTACTGCCACGGTGGCCAATTGGAGTTCAGACAACATGGAGTGCAGCCTGATTTTGGACGACAACCCTCTTGTGGACTTTGTTGAGCTGCCTGAAACTTGCCAGGGTTTAAGCTACTGCAACATTTTGTGCGGGGTGCTGCGTGGGGCCTTAGAGATGGTGAGCTTATAATTGAACAGAAAGCTGGTGTTGGAGTGCATGCCTGATTTTTGTTTCTGTGTTTTAGGTGCTGCATTACTTACTGAGAAGATTTCTATTTATTGCTGCTCACTTTTCATTTCAAATTTGAATTTTCACTCTTTTGTTTCATTTGGAGGAAGTTTCTGACTATTGTTTTGCAGGTATCAATGCGTACGGAAGTGAAATTTGTGAAGGACATGTTGCGTGGAGACGATGCGTTTGAGATCCGATTGAAGCTCCTTGAGCATGTACCGGAAGAGTATCCTTACAAGAATGACGAGTAGTTTACCATTGATGGGTTTAGCTTAGATGTTCCTATTATGTAGTCAGCCTTGTGTGTCAACGCCTTGTAGTTAAGGATTCCAACGACATAGCTACAATAACACTTTTCAAATTATATGATTATTACAATTACTTTTTCGATTAACCCACTAAGCTAATTTTTGGAATTGCTGAAAATTAACCTCGTAACAAGATTTTGTAGCATTTTGTAATCAACATAATCCTTGAAATAATCAAGTAAAAGCCTATAATAAAAATGTATGCACATTATATGTTAATCATTGTAACCTTTTACATTCATTGTAAATTCATCACACGATCTGTTGGACTACAACATTTTTCGTTTTTCAAACTGAGTAGGAAATCTTTTGTGTTGTTCTACTGTTGTAAACCTTGGCTCATCCAATGCTTTAAAAGTAAATGTATTTCTTTGTGCCCTTAACATATAAACTGTAAGGTGTGTTTGATCAATGTTGTTTTAGATGCTTGGTGAAAGATTATTTCGTCAATTGAGCAGTACTAAGACTTAATAACTTAATTAGAACAGGTTTTGAACCTTAAACCCTGAACTATAACCTGGCCGCAACGAGCTCTGAGATTACAGCATGGCACTGTTTCAAAACATGCGGATTATTTTGGTAACGATGACAATGAAAACCCATCATCAATAGCATGCTCGGAAAAATTCGTTACACAGATGTTTCATCGATTGGAAGTTCATTTGATCAATTGGAGATACGCAGGTGAACACAGTCTACACAATGACAGCAAGTGCACATAGGAAAAATCTAGTTTTAAAATAACCCCATAATTTAAGGGTCAGGTTGATATCATTCACACTTTCAATCCAGACGGCCAAAATCTTGGGGTACGTCCGAAAAAAAATATACATTCCTATACATCTCAGTGGAAATTATAGCTGAGAACACCAATGGTAAAAATGATGGCGCAGAAGAAAAAAAATGGGTTTATCCAGCAAGTACACACGTCTATTTCACAAAATATGACCACCTCATTGGTCCTCCTTGGTATCTTCACGAAGTACAACCTTCAAAGCCCGAGCACTTAATCGAGTGAGTAAACCACGTCCAATCTCATTCGCCATGCCTGCGAGGTTTGGCGAGTTAAATAGACGTTGGAGCTCAGGGACGGTTCGATCGAATTGCTCTCTGGTACGATCGATTTGCTTCCGTACACCATCGACTCCTTCTTGAACGGAATTGAAAAAATCTACAGGAATGTCCCATGGTGCTTGTCCTCTTTGCTGCTCTGGTTCTCTCTGAGTTGGAATCTCACTTTTGGCAGATGACGATGCAGCAGTATCTCCAATTCCTTGCAAGAGAAGGGCTCGTTGCAAGGCTTGTCGTTCAGACAACTTCAGTGGAATAGCTCTATCGACTAGAGCCTCCGCCTCTTCACGGGAGATTCGCATGATGCCAGCAATTGAGGCTGCAGCGGAACGAGTTGCATTTATGCCAACAGCTTCTATAATAGGGATGAGGTCATTTACAAGCGCCCCACGGACCCCATAAGCCTGCGCAGTTCAATCTGATGAGCATCAAAATTGTTCGTATGGATTTCAGTTTTCACACGCTCTAGATCATGCACTTGCAGTATTATTCCACGCAACATGCTGGCAAGTCTTGCAAAACAACAATACCAACAATATTAATAAATAATAATAATAATAATAATAATACTAACTCGGTAAACCAAGTGGTATAGACGCATAAAATAAAAGACCGTGAAAATGAGACAATCTGTAATGGAGGGGAACAATGGAAGATGACTAAGTTTCACCTTTTGCTCCGAAACAAGCCAATGCAAGAAAGACCAAAGTTGCTCTTCACGGATCCCTCCAACTTTACGTCCCTCTTTGATAAGATCTTCAAGTCTAGCCCACCTGCACAATCGCAAAGATTACTTTGCTCACCACGAAAGCACGCATATAGCTATTGATAATTTGACACATCTTGTGAACGCTTCTGAAAGAAAATGATACAATCCTCGCACTCATAAAAGTATGAGCGAAATACGCATTTCTACTATTTAGATTATAATTTAAATAAAGAATATATGTGGATTTTTTTTTAACCTAAAAGATCCGTTTTGGATCAAGAATTCTTCCAACGCCCCGCGAAGTTCTTCAGCTTCATCTGTTAGTAGACGCTTTGCGATATAAGGATATGCCCTCGCTATCAGCTGCAGGCACCACCAAAACCGACTCAAACTTCAGCATGGCAGTAAAATCTAGACATATTTAAACATCATGCACACAAAATATCTAAGACTGCATAAGAAAGCCATATTGAAGAGCAGCATGTTCAGTTTCAAATTGAGGAATCTTATTTGCGGCTTCTGCATGTAAACTCAATTTAAAGATAGCACGAATTGGAACAGTAATCAAATCGGCGCTTCCAATTGTCAACATAATGATTCATGATTTTCATATGAGCAAATGTAGACCAACTCAAGCATAGAATGGCAAAAATATTCAACAAAGAAACTGAGATACAAACCCTGTATGAAGGATCTGAGCGCATGGCGATCCCTTCTAACACTGTCAGTGAGCGCGCAATCAATGCATAATACGCAGGCACCTTAAACGGAAATTGATACAGTACTTCGGCAAGCCCATCTATCACTGACTGCACACGACTCGTGAAACGTTGTTTTGAGTGAGGTACTCTCAAAGAATAACAAGCAACTTGCTATGTTTCAAATGTGGAAAAATCACTCAAACACATGCATACGGACACTGAAAAAGTGGTAACTGGAAATCAAACGAAGTTGCAGCTACAGTAAGTGTTACCTAAACTTGGATTCAATGTTCCAAAATAAGTTAAGAAGAAAACTGCTACGAAGAAAAATAATTCATATCTCTGAAATTAGGTGAAATTAACGTTTGAAAGGAAAAATTGTACAAAACAAGTCAATAAAATGCACAACGTACCTTCAGGTTAAATTCTGAGACCGATTTATTGAGTACATCGTCAAAGAAATTGGCAAGCTCCGGCACAAGAGGTGCCACATCTACACTCTGCAGGCACACATGTATAAAATCCATTCAAGCTGTTGATTCCACATATTATCATTAACGGCATCCAAGATGAGATGTTGAATTAAGTATGTCAAAGCAACCTAGCAAAACTCCAGAGCTGCAACAATTGTTTACACATCAGTTCTATTATTGATACTTACAGAGTCTAGGAAGCCAAGGGTATAGTAGTCTCGAGCCATTGCACCGTATTCACGGTTCACAAGGTGGACAACGTGTGCCATAATTCCGTACCTGCATTTCAAAATCACAACACGCTTTTCCTTAATATGCAGTCGCAGAACGTGGGACAGCACTTGACCACTCGTATGTGTTCAACTTGAAAAAAGTCATCTTAAAAGTATCTACTTCAGAAACTTAGAGATGGATATTTTGCTACTACCACAAAGAGCACGTTAAGAAGATGTAAATACATCTAATTATGTTAATAAATAAGTTGAGGATACAATAAAAGAATGTCGAAGTTCAGATCCTTCATGAGGAGGTTCGTAAGAGGATTAAAAAGAGCAGTGGCAAACCAAATTTCAGCCTTCTCTGACGTAGAAGGTTCAGGTTTCGACGTCATAACTTTCATAACGACCTCAACTAGCTTCTACATCACAGAACGATGCGCCATTCTGCTTCACAAAAAAATGCAAACAATGCTAAACTCCACAATCTATTTTCCAAGTTAAACGTTGCGAATAACCTTGCGGAAAGTGGAGCTTCACTCATCATCCCAAAGTCCAGATACACGAGCTCGCCTGCCCGAGTAGCGAGAATGTTCCCAGGATGAGGGTCAGCATGAAAATATCCTGGACAGAAAGCAAAAGAGCCCAAGTTATATTGCGTAAAACATGAATAAAAACTACATTGAAAGCACCATGGCACAAAAACATTGGAACATTGAGAACCATTGCAAGCATTCTCGTCAAATTGCAAGTATCTTGTATGGCACCTTAGTTTGATTCTAGTCGTAACAAGGAAGCCTAAGGATAAGGTAGCTATTCTCCACCCATTTCAGTGGAAAAATTGTTCTCAGTATCATTCGTTGATTATAACCGATGAGAATTTCTGAATTAGAGTGGACTACTGAAGTACATCAATAACCTGAGCATTCAACCTGTTGGTAATTACGTCACCGGTTAAACCGTTTCTGGCTAGAACCATTTCGATGGACTTGAGGATCATTTAGGACAGCACATGGATCAGAGTAGAAAGTCTGTAATCAGCAAACACAAATTGTCTGTGACTTACCATGCTCTAGTAGCTGGCGCATCGTGCAATCTACGCCCAAATCAACAAAATCTACAGCTTTCATTCCATAACCACGAAGACCACGCTCATCTGTGAGTTTGACTCCTTCTATCCACTCCATGGTTAAAACTCTTCGTGATCTGTTGCCAGCAAAATAATGCATAAGACCAACTAAAATAGGGATAGGGCATTTGATAATCTTGAATAATTTGCATCTTAATGTTAGAAATTGCATAGTTGATATAAAAAATATACTTACGTAAACTCCCAATGTATTTTTGGAACCCGTATGCGTGGAAGACTACCATACAGGGAATCAAAGTGTTCTGCGTTGCGACCTTCCTGTGATTATCAAAGATTTTTCATTAGGAGTCTGTGAACAGTCATGTATAGGAAAATCTGTTCAGTTCTCGAACTCTCTAACAAGGAAAAAAAAGATCTGTCAGCATATCCATCACAGTAGAAATTCAAATTATAAAACCAAGATATCTGGTACTTTTCCATTAGAATTTCAAGAACACATAGGCTGTTCTGAACCCGCATTTCTTTTCAAGAGCATGCACGTAAACTTGATTAAGGAAGTTGGCATGTACAACTATAGAGTAATACATCTGTACCTTGATGTAATCAAGTTCCGCAAAAAGACGGCTAGCAAACTCGTCCACGATATCTACCAGACGAGTAGACCTCGAAATTTCCGTATTTGCATCAGCCCAAGCGGCTGCTTTTCGCACTGAAACAGATCGAACAATTTATGATAAGTAGCTCATTTTTGTTTTTAGCTTATCTCTCTTATTTTTATATTTTACTTTTCATTCAACTTTTTGAAGTGTTGTGTGTTAAAATCACAAAACAATAAAAAAACCAAAACATTACAAGCCTGTAGTCTTCAAAGTAATAAGACTTCCAAATGCAGTTTGAAAGATCTGACTAGCTTATAAATGCACTTTTCTTTGATCTACAGAGAACTGTAAGTGTGATATGTATCAAAATAATGAGGGTATAGCTACATGAACAAAGTTAGTCTAATCTCCATATCTGTCGCCGAAGCATCTTTCAACATGCCACAGCATAATTATAGAATACACTGCACGAATACTTCAGAAGAACCTGCAAGAAAAACGATTTCTTTGTGTACGAATATGTACCGAGAAACATATCCAGAGCAATGCTGTCACCAATGCCGGGTCTTTGAACCTGAGCACCAACCATACAAACTCGATCGTGATCTTCACTTCCAAATTCTACTCAAACTTCGAAAAAGATTCTCGAATCTTAAATTGCATAAGAGTCAAATATACGCAAAGACGCAAAGTCACCAACAAGGAAAGATTTTAGCTTCCTGGTGTACTTGGTCTAAATTTTAAATGGAAATATGTACATATGTATATCTTGTTGAAGGGAATTTAGAGGTGAATATCTACCTTGACAGCCACAAGTTCTCCAGTAGAGCGTAAACGTGCCTTGTAAACCTGAAATATAGAAGTCCTTTACTAAACGTTTTTGAAAATAAGGCAGCTATTCAAAAAATAACAAGTGAAAATCCTTCTTCTTCTCCATTCGACACAATGCTAAAATCTTCAAGAAATACAACTGCTTATGTATAGATATAGTTTAGGGATTTCAAGTTATACAAAAACATTTTTTTTTTGTGCTTCCACATCTACAGAGGAAACATTGTTCTCAGTACAAATGAAGTAGTGTAATTGAAGGTACTAGATTGGTCAATGGATAATCAAAGTCAAATAATTATGTTGGAGTTTGACTATAAGTTTGTTTCTATCCTCTTTTAGAAGATCAGGATGTGTACAAAAGATGGAGGAATCACAAGAAAACATATTGTCATACCTGACCCAAGCTCGCTGCTGCAACAGGCTCCAGAGAGATTTCAGTAAAGACGTCCTCCAACTGATTCAAAAACAGCCACCACAACTAAAAATAAGGAAGCCTGTAAGGGATTCACTGAGCAACACGTCACTATGATAAACTACTGTAGACAGGATAAAAAGTGCTAATTATTAACACAATTCTTATAGCACAGACACAGGGAGTAAACTGGCTACTACCGGAACACCAAGTTCCTCTTTTATCAAGGCAAATGCAATTGGAGTTGGGAAGGAAGGAATTCTATCCTGCACAAGAGGCATAACAAAAGAAAGAAGTTGCGTTAGTTACTTCCAGGGTTGATGAGTAGAAATCGATAAAAAAGACCAAGCACTCAAGATCCAGATCACCTCCGAATAGAAGATAAAGTCTCTATCAAAGCATACTCGCGAATCTGTTAAGGTTCTAAAAGAACCCAAAGAAACTTATCCACACATCACAAGAAAACAGACTCAGTACAAGATCGGCATTTCCTACAAATTGCAAGAATGCAATGCGTGGCTAACTTTTACCTGCAACCCAGAGAACTCATCGAGGTATTCTTGTGGGCAAATATCAGGCCTCACGGAGAGAGATTGCCCCACCTGCTAGACGACAACATTTCGAAACGCCAATTTCCGTAAAAATATATAACAAATCACCAGAGCTATTTGACGTTAGAAATGACAACAAAGCTAGATAAATGAATAAAATTGCAAACTCGAATAAGGAAAAGAGTTTCGTACAAAAGACGACTGAATGACCTGAGAGCGCTATTTTAAGAATGCAAGGCAGTAGTCGTTATGTAAATGAGTAAACATCTACAAACTTAAATATTTCAAATTGTTTTGAGTCTAAAGAAATGTTACTGTTAGGCAAGCCAATTCTGATAGGAACTCCACTAATACACTGAGCATCAAGTAATAAAACACACAAGGATAATATCAATCAGTATCAAATGCCGACAAAACATAGTGACGCAACGTTTTCCACATGAAGAAACCTAAGAAACGCACTCCGTCATCGTCTAAGGTCACAATAAGGCAGTTTTGACCTTGACGAAAGACGGACCAAGATGGCAGAGTATTTGGCGTAGTTCACGAGCACGTTGCAGCCTGCGCTGACTATTCTGCACTCCCAGCTATTTTTCAAACCCAACAAGGACAATTAGAACATCTGCAGTTTTTGCGTCTTGTACAAAGTGAGGCAGCAAGTAAAGCTAAGGATTAACTCCGGTGGTTTAAAATTAGAAAGTATAATAAGCAAGACAGTAGATAATCGTATTTAATCAATGCCTGCCAACGTACCATCAAACCCAACCAGAGATAGCAGGATTCGTAAGTGGATAAAATTACGAATTGAACAAGCGAATACATAAAAAAAAAAAAAAAAAAAAAAAAAAAACCTGCTTATCAAGTAGAACATTTGCAGCGAATAGTCCAAGATTTTTCATTATGCTAAACGCCCGTGCACGCACTCGACCTGGCTGTTCTGCCATCATATCTGCTAATCTGTCTGGGTCATAGCTGCGATCCAGAAAAAACACCTTAGCTGCGATCACAAGAGTTCACGCTTAATCTAGCTTGTGCAAATACAAGCTAGAACTATATGTTTCAGGCCATATATTATCGTGAAAGTTCAAAGGCACACAAGCAATATGCTCTAACATTGAAGACAACATTCATTTTTATGAAAAAACCACCCAAAGCGAAAATGGAACAAAACTATGAGACTATTAAATTGAACTAGCTAAACATCCCACCCAATTGAAAGGTCGATTGCAGTAGGAAAATGCAGTAAATTAAAAAAGAAAGGAACAACTCACCATAAACGAGTGCGCTAATGTGGACATGGACTCCAAGCAAGCTAATATTTAATCTTAAAAATAAAAAATCGTTGCTAAGATATTAACATTAGTATTGCTGGTTGCATTTGTTTTAAAAAAAATTACCTCTGTGCAAATTCTCGAGCAACACTAGGTTTCAACTCCAGCATCTCAACCTGCAAAGAAACCCTAAACCATGTCAAGTAATAAGAAATAGTTTCAAGATGCAACCGGTAATATTCCAAACTTCGACACTTCAAATGCCTTAAGAATTTAGTTGAGGGAAATAATACAAGTACAAAACAGAAGGAGATGATTAGTGGAAGGATAGTCAACTTTTCCTTGAAGTGGGTAAAATCGAATTACACATGTTTGCACGGAAGATTCAGGGTACAGCACAAAATTACCCAGCCTTTGAGAGCTTTCTCACCACCTGGCCAACCCTTTGACCAGTCATCCAATTTGCCAGGCGAACTTTTTCCTACTTTTCTGAACTCGTTCTGGCTTTCCCCCAGAACCTGTAAAAGGAATTCCCATCAATGCTCATCAGCTCATGTGTGAAATATGCCTCGATCATTGCCGTAATGCTCAAGGACTCCATGAGCAGAACTAACCTCTAAAAACGCACTGGAATGTATGGTACGTTAGTACATGTTCTAGAATGCGTATCGACTCCAACAGCACGTAAATATATTCGTGTAATTCATTCGTATCGAAAGCCTATGCTATATTGATTTCAACAGACTTAAAGATCATACAGTCTCAAAAGTGGAGTACCTGTGAAACAGGACGTGTACTTGACCTCCTGTCACCTGTTTCCTTCTGTTTTGTAGCCTTCAAAGGCCTGATAGGCGTTACGGTTGCGGAGATCCTTACATACTTCAACAAGCTATGGTTTCGATTGATCATATTGGGTTCCACATTGAAACTAAGCTTCCTGGTCTTCTCTACAGGAGAATTTGCACCGAAAATATCTCGACCAGAGCTCCGGTTGCGCACTCGAGAGTGACAACCAGATAAAACCCTGTCAGAAGATATCGCTTTCGACTGTACCGCATTATCATGACTCTGGAGCATACGATACCTCGGGGAAGAGACAATTGCCAAGCAGGTGCTTCCATCCATGTTAGATATGTTCTCTGTAACCTAGAAAATATGGATTATGAGGCGTCACACGACCCTGCCTAAATCACACATGTGAACGAGAGTGACTCGATAAAAACTCTATTTGAAGAAGATTGTAAAATGACCTGCAAAACAAGGACATGCCGTACGTAATGAGAAATTCAATTTCGGTAATCAGCAATGCAAAAAATAGAGCATGGCATTTAAACGTACCATAGGATTCTAAGCTGCACTTGCAACAGGTTTTTAACAGATCGTAATGCCAGCAGAGCAGAGATTCAGCTAGTTGCAAATTTTAATCGTTAGGTAATGTAATCTTCTGTAGGAAGTACAGTTTGTATGGAGCTTTAAAGTGTAGCACCGACATCTTATTCGAGCAACTACACCTTTAGTTTGTATGTGGAAGTAACGTGTCCTATCGCCCAAACACTAAATCTAACTGTATCCCAATATCAGATAGCCCTGCCGACAGGTCAATGACAATAACCCATGGTTCATGGATGTTCATTCTATTCAAGTCACAAAACTAATGGAGCTCACCACAACAGAGCCTTGAGCCCCAGTTTGTGCACTCCAGTCCATCAATTCAATTCGCATTCAGACATACTAACAGACTTCTATTTCGTGACCCATCATGCTCCTTCTTCGACAATTGTTACATCACTTCTTTGCTGAGAACCTGCGACCCCATCACTGTGATGGTCGCCGTTGTTATGATGCGAATTGAAACTTGAACAAACTACAGCTCAAAGGCAATCTTCAACATTGAGACAAAATTTCAACTACTGAAATCATATGGTGATCTCGTGACTATATAATTCTACTCAATTTTGCACTCGAAGAACTCACGGCCGAAGTGAATTCCACATTGAGTTAAACGGTAGATTGATTTTATTAAAGTCACACCGCTCCCTCTGTAGTTTGATTAGGCTTTACTCAACCACTGTATCGCGTAACCTTTAAGTTAGCGACCGTTAAACCGTAGAAAATAATGTATCCAATATGACTAAAAGAAAACGAAATCCTGCGCATACATTTCGCCCCTCCCAATTTCATCAAAAAAAATAAATAAAGAAGAAGAAGAAGAGGAAGAGGGCACTCTTAATTCACAATATTTAATCACACGTCGAATCCCGCAGCTCGAAGCAGCACCACATCGCCTAGAAATTCAATGCTCAACATTCATGCAATCCTGTTCTCAGACAACTCATACCAGCGCTAGTAGACATTTACTCCAGCGCCACTCACTGCTCGATCCACCACGTCCCGCGCTCTCAAACTTTTCCAACAATGAATCGAAGGCAACCTCGATTCTCAAAGATATCAGGCCGAATCTTCTACGATATCGGGTTAGCGAGCAAGGGAACAATCTAGGCTCGCGCGACTCCCGGGGAACGGAGGCGAAATGGCGTCCCGAAATGGCTTGAGAACGGACGGGGAAGAGAGGGGAGCAATCACAAGGGGGAAGACGAAGAGCAAGAGGAGGGGGACGGAGGAGGGGGGCGGGGGGGGGGGGGACAACAGCGGGAGAAAAATGTGAGGACCACAAATCAGTCACTTACTAGTGAGTCAGTCACTCACAAGCAAAGTGAGTTCTGGTGGCGTCCTCATCCATTTCCCACTACTTTAAAAAAAGAATAAAAGATAAACCCCAACCAACCGAAATTCAAAGCAGGAGGAGCAACGTGGCACTTATGGCCACGTAGCTCACATCCCCCATGCCCACCCACCCCACTCGGTCGGATTTTTCTTTGTTAGCACTCATATCTGCTCTCCCCTCAAGCGCTCTGTTCCCGTGCACGCCAGCCACGGCCCTCGGACCCGAAAAGCGGAGGTCGAATGGGGCCCTTCCTCGGCGCCCCTAAAGCCAAAGTGAGTGTTCCACCCTCATGGATGTTGCAGCTCCACAAATTAACCACCCAACCCCCCCCCCCCTCCCTCATTTGTATAGATGGCTTCATCCTGCAACCCTCGCCCTCTTTGTCGCTGGGTAATCCTTACTTTCATTCATGCTCCATCATTAGATTTTCTTCAAAACCACACAAATATATATATATATATATATATATATACAAATAATCTAGTTACACATATACACACACAGTTTATTTATTTCAATAAAGTTTATATTTAAAAACTTTTTCAACCAGAATAGGAGGGGGGGATAATTACAAAACAAAACAGAAAAGAAAACTAGAGAAGAACATAAATCCTGTAACAGTTCACCTTCATGGTGCTAAATATGCTGCAAATTCAATTTGAAAAATATTAGTGTGTATACTTTTTGACACAGTTTTATTATGCAAGTTTGAACAATTATTGATTAGGATATGTGAAAATAAACTAATTAAACACTATATATATATATATATATATCCATTGGATATAGATACATGCAAAAAACGGTTTGATGAAGCAAAAAACATGCTTTCAAATTAAATTAATTAAACTTACACCTGAGCCATTCTTTGAAAATATATATTTAAATATATGCAAACATTTATTTTGTGTCCACATAGAGATATAAACTACTCACAACAAAATTCATGTTCAAGTTTAACAATTTAAACAACACATTGGGATAAAAAAAAACATATCATGTAACATAAAGTGATATTAATCATGTAATATAAAATATTATATTACAATATTTGGTAATTCCTCTCAATTATAATGAATAAATATTTATTTTAATATTTCAAACTTTCAAAAAAATTAAATTTAGATTTGTTCAAACATCATCAATATTTGAAAAATAATTTATGATTTGACAATTAAAATTTGTGTTATTAGTATTAAAAATTATAAAAAAATCACTAAAATAAGGTACATGCATAGAAACTATAGTAATATTGATGCTTTAAAAACATTATATTTCAAAATTTTCATACACAACAATAAAGTAATCTACAAATAAAACACAAAAAACTTAACAAAATATCTATGATAAGGTGTCACAAGGTCTTATTAGGTATTGTCTTATTTGCAAATGCACTCTACACTTGGCTATGCAAGATAAAGTTGTGTTTTACAAGTATCCAAGAAATCTTAATAGATTTCTTTCATATAAGAACAATGTAATTCGAATTTTAATTTAAAAGTACTGAAAGCCAATACAAAGTGGTCAAAAATATTCTTCTCAATAATTTGAACTATACACAAATTTTAATTTCCTTATTACTTTCATAATTAGATAATTTTGATTTCTCTTTGCAAGTCCTAATCCTAATTAGTAAGCTTCAGCAAGCTATAATTTCTAATTTGACCATCCACTTGGTACAAAATTTTGCATACAAATGCAACTATAAGTCTTCTATATGCTTAAAAAAATTTAATTTAATCCAACTTATAAATTATAAAAAAAACATCCAAAAAACCATACTAATGTCACTTTGCTACCAACTTGAAAGTTGATGTAGATATTCCAATAGCAATTTATTCTTTTCCAACTATTAACTTCAACTCAAAATTGGTGTGTAGCTTGATCTTTAAGTGTCCTAATACTATGCCAAATTTCACTTTGTTTCAATTAATAGATCTTTAAATATCATAGAAACCCTACCCAATTCCAAACTACCAACTTTTGATACCAAAAACTAGATATCTCTCAACCATACTATTAGATTAATATAAAAATTTATGCATACTTAGCACACACAATCAACCAAGCATTGACAAATTTTGAACCTTAGATGTGACATCAATTTCACGAACTAGCCAAGAGTACTAGCCTTAATTATATTGCATAAATTCAAAGTCACCAATACAAACCTTGATTTTGAAGAACAATTACAAAGTCATCTCAAATACTATGAAAATAAGTCTTATGCTTCTAAAACAAGCTTGAAGCTAGCTCTCCAATTCTACTTGTTGATCTCCAAATACCTCCATACTTTGGCCTAAGTAGGCAACTTAATAGCTGGAGGTCTGAATTCAATCTTATTCTACAAACGATCATCCCTTACATATCAATCCAATCTATTGTAGGAATTTTTTAGCTTGATCTTACCTTCAATTTAATCTTAATATCAAAGGCAATAAAAGAGTTTTTAGACCGTAGAAGGTAAAATTACTAATCAACCTTTAATCTACAAGCTATTAAGATAAGAAAATATACTAAAGAGCTTTTATAAAAGCCATGTTTAAATGTCTTGAATTATAATTGAATCAAGATGATTAAAAATTAATTAAAATTATATTTTTAATTATATTTTTATTATATAATTATATTTTAGTATGTTAATAGATATAATCAATAATAATTATTATTTAAGTATAAAAGATTAAAAATAAATAATTAAAAGTAAATAATTATTGATAATATCCTATAGATGAATTTTTTAGAAGCTTTATAAATATGGATTTTATTTTATATGTGCCTGAAAATAAATGATATGTTGAAAACTTTATAAATAACTTAAATTTTGATAAATAATTTTACAAATCTTTTGCCACAAGATTATCAAATTTTCAAAAGTCAAAATTATTAAGACTTAGATGATAATTATAATTAGTTTTAAAAATACATATTTATTGAATACAATAATATGTTATGTTATTATAAGAAAATTCTATAAGTAACAAAAGAATTGTCAAATCATCTTTATAGTAGTTGATTGTATATCTCAGATACTATTCTAAAATTTCATTTACTTGTATATTTTAATTATCAAATTGAAGACGAAAAGTCAAAGATAATTTTATATTCAACCTCAATATCTTTAAAATTATTTTTTAAATCCTTTTTTATATTAAGTCTCTTTATTAGATATAATATGTCTTAACAATCTATAATAGAAATAAATATTTTCTAAAAACAATTTAGTTATTACTTCACTTATGATATATTTTGTATATGATATGAAGTATGCAAATTTAGAAAAAAAAATCTAATGTCACAAATATAGAGTCATAAATATTTGTAGTTGAAAAAATTGTGATAAAATCCATGGATATAGAAGGCTATGGTTGTTTTGATGTAATTTGTAGTTAAACAAGTCTACAAAGCTGATATCAAGGAATTTTTTATCTAAAATAAGTATTACATGATTGTACCAATTCTTCTACTTCTCTCCACATTTAAAACAATCAAATATCTCTCAAAAATATTTTTGAGATCCTATTGTTTTCAAAATATCATGTAATTAGGAAGTTGTGACAAGATTGAAGAGCTTATTATTATGCTTAATTTTTTGGAACATATAAGTATTTTCCAAAATAGAGTAGATTTTTTTTGAATTCAAACTTAAAAGAATTGAGGATGCAGTTGACTGAATTTGGTCGAAAATATTGAATCAATAGTGAACTTTGATTTCATTATTCAAAGATGAAATTATTTTAATTTCAACAAGATTATTTATTGTTAATTTAAAGTCGTATTTCCTTTTGATTGGCACAAGATAATAACATGTAGGAAAAGCATTTAAAAAACATAGTTATTTTTTTGGCCAATAAGTAATACTAAATACAAATCTTAACAAAAGCATGTTGTAATAGGTTTGCCAACAATTCAAAATATGTCATGACATAAAGTATTTGAAGTTCATGTGATTTATACAAATAGTGAGTAGACTAAAAGAGTCTTCTTAATAATAATGTTAACTATGAAGTTAATCTATAATGGTAATAAGTTCTTTGTCATAGATCTTGTAGGTTATTTTGAACATTTGAATTTTATTTTAATGAAAAGCTTGATTGAAGTTTATTATTTACTCTTATTTTTAATAATACTACTTATTATGTAGAGTTAAATACAACTTTTTATATAAAAGTTTTTTTATAAAAATGACATGATATTAGATTAGAACAAAAATAAAAGTTATCTTCAAAGCTTCAAATGCTCTAATAGATTATTTATTTTACTTAAGTTTGTCTTTACATGTCAAATGCATAAGTAGAGCTGAAATTTTAGAAAAGTTTTTAATAAAATTCTAATAATTACTTGCAACTCTCAAAAAACATTAGAAATCTATTACAATTCTTAAAATCTTGCAATTTATGATTTTTTGAGCTTTCTTAGGATCCATCATGAGGCCATTATTTGAAGCAATGCATCTTAAAAAATCAATTATATTGATATAAATTAGATATTTTTTTATAAGTATATATAATTTTTAATTTTTAAATTTGTATAATATATGCCAAAGATAAAGATATTCTTGTGTTTTTATTAAAGTATATTATAATATTTATAAATAATATATGAAAAAAATATTTAAATATTTTTTTAAAAAATATAATGCTTAAAGGATATTTTAGTATAATGAAAGTAATATGATTAATTGTAGATGTTGAAGTACCTCCAATCATCTCTATATCTTTACTTCATATTAATCTTGTTGCTTCTAGTAGTAGTAAATTGAGTTGATACATTGCAAGCATTAGCTCTTTCATTTTCTTTTGCATATGTGTCGTTATATTTTTTAATTCAAAAAATTCTACAATAATAACACAATGAAAAAATATCTAATGTCATTGAACATAAATAAAGAAAATTTAAAGAATAATATCAATTTAGAA